GAACATGTTTGACAGCAACAAAGTGATTTGCAGTAGGGGCATGCAAAAATTGAATGACAGAATTTGATAGTATGAGCAATATCTGGTCGCATAATGGTCAAGTATTGAAGGGCGCCAACAAGAGATTGATAGAGAGTAAGATCAGAGAAAGGAGAATCATCAGGAGTCAAGTGTTGAGAAACAATCATGCGGTGTGGACTGGTTTGCTATCGAGCAATTGAGCATGAGTAAGAATATCTCAAGTATATTTTAAGTAACTAATAAAGAGACCATCCGGAGTTGGTGAATCTTCATGACCAAGAAAGTAACTAAGAGAATCTGAATCCTTGATAGCAAACTTAAAATGAAGCTGGCAGTAAAGCTGATAATAAGATATGAGTTGTTGTCGGTACCAATAATGTCATCAACATAAAGAAACAGACATATAAGATTAGATTACTGAAGAAAGACAAAAAGGGACGTATCAGCGCAACTACAAGAAAAACTAAGTGAGAGAATAAATGAGATAAAACGTTGAAAATAATCACGAGGAGCTTGCAAGCCATTGAGGGTTTTCTTTAATAGACATACATGAGTAAGAAGTCGATGATCAATATATCCAAGAGTTTGTTCCATATGAACATTTTCAATAAGTGTGTCATTGAGGAAAACATTTTTGACATCAAGTTGCCGAAGAGGTCATTTATTTGTAACCGCATTAGAAAGCACAACACGGACAGTGGTAGCTTTGACAACCGAACTGAAAGTGTGAGTGTAGCTGAGATCAGGAACCTAAGCATAACCTTTGGCAACAAGACAAGTCTTGAAACGCTTGACAGATCCATCAGACAAATATTTAATATGAAATACTCGTTTAGAGCCCACGATGTAGGTGTTGGCAGGGTGAGGAACCAAAGTCACATTGTCATTTTGTTGTAAAACTTGAATTTCTTCATCCATGGCAGCAACCCAAGCAGGATTCTTAACCGCAGATTTGAATCTTTTTGGCTCAGTGGATGCAAGAAGAGTAGAAAGAAGTCTAGATAATCTCAAAATACCAAGATTTGTTAAATGACAAAACTTGAAGATACCATCTTTGGCTCGTGTGATCATAGGTTTAGAGCCAAAAGAAGAGGAATCAGTAGTAGGTTCAATAGAGGTCGGATTAGAAGTCGAGGGTGGCAAAGAGGAACCTATAAGAAAAGTATCAACCTGCAAAGACTCATCCACAAGGTCAGAACAAATATCACACGAAGATGAGCTGGATAGAGGAATGTGCAGTGAAGAAGTGATGGGGGATGAATGAATATGGTAAAGATGTAGTTCCAAGAAATTTGAAATATGAAGAGAGGAAAGAGGTTGTGCCTACGAGCTAGGGACAGCAGGGAAGTGAGTTTCATCAAAATGAGCGTGGCGAGTGATATATAGCTTAGTGGTGGTGGGATCAAAACAACGAAACCCTTTATGAGAGAGACTATAACCCAAAAAAATGGAAGGAATGTTGCGGGGAGAATTGGCATATAATCACCAAGTAAGGATAAACACAACAACCAAAGGGATGAAAATTGTCATAATGCATAGAGTAGTCGTAAAGGAGTTCAAAGGGTGACGTACCACCAAGAAGTGAAGTAGGCAACTGGTTAATAATATAAGTTGTAGTACATAAGGTGTCAACCCATAAACGAGGAGAAAGATGAGAGCGAAAGAGTAGGGTCAAGCCTGTCTTAGTCACATGACGACGTTTTCTCTCAGCACGACCATTTTGAGCAAGTGTATATGGACAAGAGATTTGATGGTGGATGTCAAAAGAATACAAGTGAGTTTTGAAATAAAATTCAGCACCTCCATCACTTTGAAAAATCTTAATATGAGCAAAATATTGATTTTTCTCAAATTTTTTAAATTGAAGAAAAATATAAAAGAAATCATATTTAAACTTTAAAGGGTAAAGCCAATTGAATCGAGAATAATTATGAATAAAAATAACATAGTAAAGAAAATCTAAATTGGATTTGATGAGACGACGATAAGGTAACAATGACTTTTTGTAAGCTTATAAGTATTACAAAGTGACGGAGAGGGAATAAAACATAAAGAGAAAGATGACCTTTTAAAAAAAAAAAATAACATAATAATTCACATGACTCAGGCCAGCATGCCATAAATCATATTTGTTTCTAAATACAGAAATAAAGGCAGGGTTGTCGCATTCAAGCACATATAGTCCTCATCTCTTTTACCGCCACCACTCTTCCTATTTGACGATTCTGGAAAGTAAAAAAATTATTAGTAAATATAACTGAGAGAGGAAAATTATACATCAATTTACTAATTGAAAGAAGTTTTTTAGTGAAATGAGGAACAACCAAGACCGTGAATATTTGAAACAGGAGAAAGAGTACTAGGGTGATGGGTAGGAATGCACTATTTCCTACAATCACAGAGTCCTTACTCGTGTAATTTTTAGATTGATCCAAAATAGATGAGTTGACGGTCATATGGGCCGAAGCCCTAGAGTCCAAAAACCAATCAACAGCCTCGAGTCCAACAATAGAACAAGACATGTTGAAGACTTCAGCAAGGTGAGCATGAGCAGAATCAGGCCAAACGTACCATGGTTGCAATGGTCAGCATAATGGTCATCCGTACGACATATTTGGTAGCGAGGTGGTCAATGATCCTGATCTGAGTTGGTTCGTCCTCGGTTAGAAGAGTTGTTATTGTGGGAATGAGAACGACCTCGCTAGTTGCTAAAGGAAGCAAGGTGACTTCCATGGGCGCAACCACGATTAGTGGCTATGAATGTCGTAGGAATGGAGTCAGAAGACTCAAGGGTGTGCTGAAACAACTCAAAACTTTCAACTTTAGAGACTAAATCTGCAGAATAGAAGAGGGGTGAGAGTCATCTGAGCGGTAGAAAAAGTTGAAAATTTGGTATCGAGGCCATGAAGGAACCAATGCACTTTATCAATGTCCTCGACAGGTTTGCCAAAGGCATAAAGTTGGTCACAAATTGTTTTGAAGGTACAAGCATACTCAGCAATAGGTTTGGTGTTGCATTTCATCAGCTACATGTCATCCTTGAGTCTCAGTTCACGAGCTTTTCAAATGATGGTTGAACGTAGTTTCCAACGCGAGCCAAACATTGTGCAGCAGAGAGACCAACGACGACAGCAATAGTTTCCTCGATGAGAGAGGAGTATGATATAGAGAAGCCATTGATCGGCTTCTTTCCATGCCAAATATTTGGTGTTGAGGAGGTTTCTGGTTAAAAGCGAGGTGCTGGAACCATAGTTCCAAATCCACGAGATGGAAACTTATCATTTCTAGGCTATCACAGTAAGTTCTTCACATTTTTCTCAATTTCTTTGGTTTGGAACGAAATTTTGCATTAGTTTTCTAAATTCTAGGTTAAAAGAGAAAATACGCTAACAATCGATTAAAAATGGCTAAAAATCTGAAGAAAAAAGGAAAAATAGGGTCATTACATCAAGATACCTTCCGTAGCATCTCAACGCTAACCTCTCGAGTCTCGTGGCTTAATTTCCTATTCTTTCACTTGAAACCATCCACTTTTGTCCAATTACCTCTCCCAAATGCTATGGTTAACAAAGTTCTAATGAAAGAAAGAGAGAATGTGTATGCAAAGTTTAGTGGGCACATGGAGGGAGTTAGACTCCATAATGAAGATAATATAACATTTTCTTTAATTATATTTAAATATAATATCAAAAACTTAGAATATAAATTCATTTTCCTACCTCATTAAAATAAATATAATTATTATGGACAAAATCATCTAATTAAAATATATTTATGATTTGATTGGATTAAATTTATTTGTGAAAACTTTATGAATTGGTTCATTTTTTAATTAAAAAAATTAGGTTTTTGTTTATTATACGATAATCTATGCATTCATTTATTTTATTTTTATTATTATTTATTCTCCGACCATTCTTAAAAATCAATTTTAACTGTTTGTAAACTAATTTTTCAAAATATATATTGAAATTGAGTGGTAAATTGTAAGGACATAATTTCCTATTAAAACTATTATAATCGGAAATATTTAATAGCTAAATCATGGACAGACACATTTATTATAAAATCATTAAAATAATGTAGCAAAAAATAAATAATACGAATTTAAATAAACTAAAAAAATAAAGTATTTGCTCTGATCTAAATTAAGATGAGAGAAAAACAACGTGGATGCATCTACCTTAGCTTTGGTTTCATGGTCGTCACTACAACGTCGTCATTCGTGTGGAGAGACGTTACTTTTACTTTAAAAATAAGAATAGTTTATATAACTAGAGTATTTTAAAAAATAATCGTGAGAAAATTTACTAAAACCATCGCGCCTAAATGGTGGTGAAAGTTCTTTGTTTATAATCATTTACACAGCAACAAATGAGAAAAATAATATCATGGGAGAGGAGTGAGAGCCATTTGAGTAGTAGAAAAAGTTGAAAAATCGGTGCCGAGTCCACGAAAGAACCAGTGTACTTTATCAATGTCCTCGACGGGTCTACCAATGGCATGAAGTTAGTCACAAATTGTTTTGAAAGTACGTGCATAACTGAGACTAATGGTAGAATGTAGTTTCTAACACAAGCCAAACGTCACGTGCAGTGAAGAGACCAACGACGACAATAATGGCTTCCTCGATGAGAGAGGAGAGCAGGAGACAAAGAAGTCTTTGATCGGCTGCTTTCCACACCAAATATTTGGTGTTGAGTGTTGAGGAGGTTTCTAGTTCAAAGCGAGGTGGTGGAACCACAGTTCCATCAACATAATCCAGCATGTCTTGACTCTCAAGAAAAGGAGGAAATTGGCTTTTTCAAAGAAGATAATTGGAGGAAGAAAGTTTGATGATGATCATATGGATTAGAGTGTTGAAAGAAAGAAGATAATACGAGAATTCATAAGCCATAGAGAAGAAAGGAGGAAGGTTGTCAAACTGAAGGAGTTCTAATACCACGAGAATATTTGTTAAAATCACCCCACCTTTTAGGTAGTGAAATTTCTTTAGTTATAATCATTTATAAAATAGAAAAATATCGTAAATTACAAATGGATACAAGATATTTACCTATAATAAACGGTCAAATATGATACATATGTTAAACCATAATTCAAGGCTAAATATTCCTAACAAATTGGATGGACAGTATTTCTCTACACACTACCCGAGCATATAGATCCACAAGCGAGCTCACATACGTACTCTTGAATATGACCTTCAACTAGTATACACTCACGTTGCCGGTATACTATAGAGGGAAGGGAGCACGTATAGTATTCTGGTGTACACAATACCAAATCACACAATACCTGTACACATTCATACTAGCAAAGATATTAATTTAAATAAAGTTGCCAAGTCATCTTTTCTATAATAAATAAATAAAAAAAGATTTTTTAATAATTAAAATCAATAATTTAGGGATATTAATTGAAAATGACATATAGTGAAAAGGTTTTTTTTTTTTTTTTTCATAAAGAAAATCAATTAATTTAATGAAAATTGAGTGTTTGATCGGTGGATAATATTATCGTGGTAATACGTCAAATTGTCAACCAATGCATAGACGTGGTGGTCATAAGTCTACATCATTCAATTAATTTTCGGTTGATTGGAAAAAAGACAAGATAAAATCGTAAACATAATATACGATCAAAGTAGAAATGTATACACGTGTCTTTTTCATTGGAAGACAAAATATGCCAAGAACTAAGGATTTAGCTAGTCGAGATTTGTAAGTTGAAATGTCACCTCGACCATCATTGATTTAACAAATTATTTATAAACATAGCCTAAACAAGCCTTGCTTTCACGTATATGCACGATTCTTCACTGTTTCATCGACCTGTATAAATCTCGATTGATAAAGACATTGGTAATCTCAAACAATGCACGAACAAATTGACGGTCAATGTGATTTTCAAGTAAACATCAATCTTTCCAAAAAAAATGGCATGTAACCTCATCCATTTGAAATTGGGGCAACCTTAATTTGATGAATCATGTGTTCATATTTAAATGTTGAACAGGAAGAAGGGGGCATCAATATTCTTACAAGAAAAGTCAAGAACTTGAATTTAAAGAATCAAATTGGTCTACCTTCCAAAATTCAAGATGTGGTCATTAACAACAAACAAAAAACATTGATGAATGGGTCAAGTCCTCCTTGGGAAACCTCGTTCTCATCACGAATTTTTAGGATAAAGATCTGAGATCTTACGTCGGTTAGAGATGTGAATTTATTTATAAAGATGTGGAAAATTTTCCCTAGTAGATGTATTTTAAAATCGTGAAGCTGACGATAATACATATCGACTAATAGTGGGTTTGAGTTGTTACAAAAGATGATCAATTTAAGGATAAGAATTTTGCTAGCGGTGAGTCTGAACTGTTACAAAAGATGAACAATTCAAGGATAAGAGTTCTTGGGATTAGTTCGATCTGAATCTATATGTCACAAAATTGGATGTATTATCAGATTGTGAGATGAAACTCATTTAATTCTTGCACCAATCCCTAATAAAGTCTACTTCTAAAGATGGATTTGATGGTGAGGTGAGGGTTTAGAATATTTGAAGACATCCTCCAAAACTAAGCTCACGTTAAGAACAAACGAAAGAATACGAGTGGAATAGTAAAAAAAAACTGTGAGATCCTACATCGGTTGGAGAGAGGAACGAATCATTCCTTATAAGGGTGTGAAACCATCTCCCTAGCATACGCGTTTGAGGGAAAGTTTGGAAGGGAAAGCCCAGAAAGGACAATATCTACTGGCTGTTACAAATGGTATTAGAGCCACACATTGAGCGGTGTGACAACGAGGACGCTGAACCCCAAAGGGGGGTGGATTGTGAGATCCCACATCAATTGAAGAGAGGAACGGGTGCCAACGAGACGTTGGACCCAAAAGAAGGTGAATTGTGAGATTCCACATCAATTAGAGAGGGGAACAAAGCATTCTTTATAAGGGTGTGGAAACCATTCCGTAGTAGACCCATTTTAAAAACCTTTAGAGAAAATCTGACAGGGAAAACTAAAAAAGGACAATATCTACTAGCAGTGGGCTTGGACTGTTACAAAAACTAACCTCCAAAACGAACCCAATAAACTTAGAAAGGGTCTCAATCAAGCAAACTAAGACTAAAAAGGTAATTACGAAAAGCTTTACACACGGAAGCCCACGAGAGGTACAAACTCTAACAAAGGATCACATCTCAATGCCAAAATTCTATTGTTTCTCTCTCCAAACACCATAAAATAGAACAAAATCTAGCAAACAACAAGCAGCAGCCCTTTTCATAAGAGGGGTGCCGCATAGCCTTATGAGATCCCACGTCGGTTGGAGAGGGGAATAAAGCATTCCTTAGGGTGTGGAAACCTCTCCCTAGCATACGTGTTTTAAAACCTTGAGGGGAATGTCAGAAGGAAAAGCTCAAAGAGGACAATATTTACTAGCGGTGGGCTTGGGGTGGTTACAGAACTAGTGGGAGCGAGCTATGAGCATAACCCATAACCCAATTATTTGGGGGGAAAGGTTTTGTAAAGTTTATGGATTCAGTGTTGTTAATAAGCACCTCTCATGAAACACAGTCACAAGAAATCATCATACAATAAACCAGATATAATCAACAGTGCCTCTGTAATCATAACTATAGAGTGAAGTGTATTCAAGACAATTGGTGGCACAAAAATTGCACAAGAACAGACATTATTAATCTAATCGAATCATCAGTAACTTCTCACAGAATCAGCTCAAATGAGTTTTTTGAGTACCTGCCTCAGCGTTTTCAAACAAAGCCTGCTGCTGCATCACTTTAACCATGTTCTTCATAGTTCTCTCTTCTCCTTCAAGTTGTACTTTCATTAATGCCTCTGCTTCTTTGTCAATTGGCTTGAAGTATTCTTCAATGGCAGACTCCTGCATATATTGTACAAAGTTTTGTCATAGGAATTGTTGTATATTGCTGGTAAAGAAAAAGATAATAAGAAAGATGATTGCGCCTCTCGAGGACCCGGCACCTCTCGTACACTCATCTTCCCATGTTTAGGCTGCCTGTTAACAACCCTCCCAATGACAACTTCTATCCCACGTGACTACTGGATATACTACTAACTTTCGTGCTCGTAAACAGTAACGCATAGCATTATTAACTAATCGAAACTAGAAATAACTCAAGTTAGTATGCTAATACAGTTGAATACATTAATCCCCATGTCTTATAGAAAGTAAAGGTCAATCTCCCAATCTGCATTTCTTGTATATGTGTAAGTTTCTTCTTTTTGTGTGTGCTTTTGTGTGACGAGAAATATTAGGACCATACTATTGCACATCGATTGGAGAGAGGGACGAAACATTTTTTATAAGGGTGTGGAAACCTCTCTCTAACAGATGCGTTTTAAAAACTTTGAGGGAAACTCGAAAGAAAAACCCAAAGAGGACACGTTAGCGGTGGACTTAGACTATTATAAATGGTATCAGAACCAGACACCGAGCGATGTGTCAGTGAGGAGGCTGAACCCCGAAGGGAGATGGACACCAAGGCCCTAAAGGGAGGGTGGATTGGGGTCCCACATTGATTGGAGAGGGAAACGAGTACTAGCGAGGACGTTGGACCCCAAAGGGAGTGGATTGTGAGATCCTACATCGATTAGAGAGGAGAACGAAACATTCTATGGAATTGAAGTAAGAGAATAAAACTTACTGTTTCCTCTAACTTTTTATTTAGAGTTTGCATCTCCTCAACCATGCGACGAACTTCTCCTAAGATAGCCTGTTCTGGTACCTTTCTTATGGTAGCTTTTCTTTCCTCCGCCTGGCAAAGGGTAAAACACCATTACAACATATAACATTTGTTCGCAAACAAGTTAGAAAGTTTTGAACACACATAAACATAGCCCCTTACACACGAACACTTGAATATCCACATAATGACAATGAAATTCTGATCAAAATGAAGGTTTGATCAGAATTTCATTGCTCTGAAGATTCCAAGAAACCGAACTCAATCCATCTCGCTTTTTCGATCCAAACCATACAAGTTAAGTTGTCCCTAAACTCGACCATAAGTAATTTGTCTCGTCCTCCGAACAAAAGATAACCCCTTGAAACCCATTTCTCCAAATTTTAGATAACTAGAAGAAGGATGAAGAAAAGGAAATGCCAAGCAAAGTGGGAAACCATTACTTCCAAATGTATGGCTTATTCATTTTTAAGTGGGTAATGATAATGAAAGTTGCATTTAGAAAGAAACTCATATTCGTAACTTCACTATAAAGACAGGACAAGTTAACCTAATGACCAAGAAAGTAACCTTAAGAAATATATTGATAGAACCAACAAAAGTATATCCTGAGAATGATTAAGAAGATACATTTTCTATCGTGGCAACCCGAAGTTGTCCTTATACTGATAAGAGATGTATGGATTCTCGAGAAGAGAGGAGCCGAGGTAGTCCCTCAAACCGCTTGGTTCCCACGAGTGAATAGAAAGTTGGATCTACATTGAATTTCACCTGAATCGATCCATCTATCTTCCTAAGAAGAAGTTTGGTTTCAAACCCTGGAGAAGTATACCGTATGTAGCTAATCTCTAGGTATTATATTTTCGACCAAAAGATCATGTTAATGGATTCAATATTTTCACAGCTGAAGAACAGCTGACTACATTTCACTCATCTCTGTTCCTCAATCATTCAAATTGAAAGTTGTTCAAACAGGAATAATTTCTCATTTCCCAGCACAAAATGGCAGAGAATTGTGCATTTTCCCTCATTGGGTCCTAATTTCAGTGTACATGATAACCAATTCCATCCTTCCAAAGCCAAGAACACCATGAAAGAGCAAAAACCCAGGAATATAAACTGCATATTCAGAAGAAAACGGAAGCAAAATCGAAAGATCCAACGCCAAGTACCTGTTTGAGACGCTTTTGGATCTCCAACCTAAAGGATCGAATCCGGCGCTGTTCATAGCCGGAGAGGACCCTAACGTAGAAGAGGGCTCTTCGTCCAAACTCTAAAACCTTGTCCATTCAAATCCCTCCCTGCAGAGTCAAGTAGGATCCAATCTGTAACTCAGGTGGGTCGAATCGAAGGGAAATTCACAACCCATTTAGAAACTGAATTTCGCAAATGGGTTAAAACCATCAATCCATTTGGAACCAACACAGTGGTGCCGAGACTCTCATTCTTTCCCTTCTCTTGGCGATTTGCTTCCAAGCTTATATACAGCTTCATCGAGCTGGGGTTTAAGAATTAAGATGATTTTGCTTCGTTTACATTTACATTCTGCAAATATTATTCGTTAGATCATAATTTCCTTTATGTTTATGAATTTGAAATTATTTAGTTTTATTTCTAATGAATATGTAATCTGACTCTTAAATAAGTAAGAGATTTCAACCACTTAAAAATTAAAAGGACTTATTTATATACTTCTTAAAGTTTAAAAAATTTATTAGACACCCAAAATATACAGGTAAATTAACAACTTTGTCTTAATAGATAGATAGTTTAGTTGGGAGAAGATGTGTCATAAAATGATATATATATGACAAAAATCCCCTTTAGAGTGTTTGACTTTAAATTAAAAAGTAATAAACATTAAACTAAAAGTAAAAAGTGATTCAATTTTTTAAGGAAACTTTTGGGAGAAGGTGTTATGTTAATCAAATGGGATTGGTTCTGAATGAAATCACCCAAGACACCAGAAAACCCACAACTTAATATCCCTCTCTCTCTCTTTCTGGCATCCCTTTTACAGCATGGGAGAGAGAAAAACATACAAAACTGATATGAAATTCAAGCCCCTTCCATTGTCCATTGTCCATTCAGAAACACACATCAATCAGTTCAGTTATCACAAAATCCATTACAATCTACAAACAACATCCAAACACATTGGGGTTAACTATAATAGAGACAGAGAGTTCTCGAGTCCCATGCTTGTTCAGTCCCTCCTCCTCTTCTTCCTCTCCCTCTCGTTCTTCTCAGCTGAGTTCTTAAGCTGCACACCATAGTGAACAAACATTTACAACAATTCCCATTTCAGCTAATCCACCAATTTCAACACAAACACAGCTTGCTTACCATTATAATCAGAATTCGGACAAAAACAGCGACGAAATCGGTGAAGAGAGTCAATGCGTGCTTCACATAATCCATATCGCCAAGATGTGCCTTCTCAATTATCTCCTGAGTATCAACTACCATGTACCCCACGAACACCAACAGCCCGAAGTACAACTACAGATGCGACGAACAAGCAAACAAACAAGACAATATCAAGTCAGACCAGACCTACTGCAATTGGTTGACTGCTTCCACTACTTCCAAGCCATGGAAAAGATATAAACAGGAGTATCCATACCTCAAACTTGAAAAGGGCAGTAGAACCACCGAATATAGAGGAGGCGAAATGTAGCCAGAGTAACATTGATACGCCGGAAGAAAGTAAGCCACCGAGATAAAGGAATTCTCTTCGTCTTGCCAACAAGGCTGCTGCTGAGAAACAACCGAAGGCAACCGCAGTTCCCACAAAAGCGCTCACAAGAACACTGGGAACAACCAAATTTGTGAGTCAATACAAAAATAATTAGAAGCAAATATTGATTCCCAAAATCAAGTGAACATGATCTGTGGGTGGATAGCCTAAAGAGGAATGCCCACTGCTGATATATCAATGGTGTACCTACATATAGGTATTCAAATAAATAACCAGCCAAATTTGATTTTACCTCGGGTCAATCTCGACAGCCAGATGAATCAAAGGACCGATCGAAGCCCCTTCAAGAAGGGCAGCCCCCAATAGAATAGAGGCCCTCCTTTTCTGAATACAAAAATACGCGACACAAAACAAAAATTAGAATGTTAGCAACAAAAACAAACAGAGAGAGAATGCATATATACAAAGAAGACAAATATACAAGGGAGAAAAGCGGTTATAGAACAGCTTACCTCTTCATAAGGAGGGGTGGCCATTAACCATGTGATACATCCAATAGATGCAAGTGTTGTGAGAATACCGCCAATGTTCCAAAGTATATGTAGATAAGCTCCAGCAGCAGATGCCACTAAAGCACAACCAAGAGTGAGGTAAACCTGCAGATTTGAAGTACTTAGCATCATTAGTCCCATTTGATAACAACACATATCGATATAGGTACATATGTAAACAGCAAAAGAAAATTAAAACTAGAAAGAATCCAATGAACTGATTGGTTAGGTTCAGCCAAGAAGAACCAGAAGTTTCAACTCTGGGGTAAAAACTGAAAGCCGAAAGGTATAGAACATAGGGAGTGTTTTTCTATCAATTCAACCCAAATCCACCCGTAGTCCCTTGTTCAATAATTCATGTACCATTTAGATTTCCTCTACCAAAAATACGATTTCGCTAATTTAAAAAACAAAATAGTGAATCATCCAAGATTGTGGAAAACCCTAGACCAAAATTGAAAGATAATTCATCGAATTCTTGTCTAAACCCATTCAAAATTAACCACCGCGCCCATTAAAAGCATAAAACAAGAGCCGAAAATATCAATTAGAAACATCGATTCCATAAAACAGTATAAATCAAGATCCACGCTGAAATATATATAGAAAAAAGGCAAACAAAACAAATTTGTACAGAAACTGACCCGCTGAAGATGAGATTGAACGGCCGGTGAAATCTGCCGGAAGTTCTTGAGGGAATCATAGCTCCAACTGCTTCTGGATCCGGATTGAGAATCGAAGAAATACGAGAATGCGTCCATGGCGTTGAAAAAATTTCTTAGCGAGTACGTCAAACAAACTGTGCGTAAAACAATCTCTTCACGAATGAGATTTTATAGAAATGAAGTCAAGTTTCTAGATTATTCGGATTCTCTATTTTGCCCCTGTTATTTTAACTTAATTACAATAAAAGGGTTTTTCTTTTTTATTTTATATATTATACGTAATATAGAAATAAATAAATAAATGGTTGTCTCGTAACTTTATATTTTGTATAAAAAATATTCATTAATTTTTACCATTTTATTAATATTTTTAAACTTTCAAAAAAAAATTGAAAAATAACTAATTTAAAAATAATTTGTATAAATACTGTGTCTTTTAAGACATCACATACATACATAACATGACATCGTACATCATCAGATATCGTACTTAAGCACCACATAACATTATGGCGCATGCGAAGGGCACGAGCATGCATAATCATCATACAGTTCTTCAAACTTCAACAATTGGATTACTTACTGAGTATTTCTTAAAAATACTCAAGCGATGTGCTACTCTTATATTTCAAGTAAAGGTATAGTGTCCTACATGGATGACAATGATAGGATAGTAGTATGTACTATTTTTCGTTAGTAGTTTTATAGGTGACTTTTCATTTTTGTACTCAAACATTATACGTTAAAGTTTTATTTCGATGACTTTATTTATATTTCTGGTTTTAAACTAATGGTATAAGTCTATAATTTCATTTGAAACGTTTTATTTAAATTTTTGTATATGTTATTAAAGACATGCATGTAGTGACGTTTTTGATTTAGACAAGAAAATTAGGGGCATAACATCATTCATGTAGAGACATATGAATAACCGAGTTTGTATAAGACTAGACCATGAAATAACTTTTTTTATATCCGTTAATTAAGAAAATTAATATTTCACACGATAACCATATGAGTTGTGAACTCATCTTTGTGAGAGGTTTACCTTTGATTTACAGAAGTGAGTAGTTTTGTAAAGATAATCAGATGATTAAATTCGAGACTTAAACAATGAAGCAGACTTAAGAGAAACTAATAAAATTTGACTATAAAATTTGTATATAAAATTTGTAGGTGACTTATATTAAATTAATAAAATTTGACTTATTAAAATAAATAAATAATTAATTACTATCATTTGAGCTTATGGATTGATAGGCCTCCAAATTTACTTAATTTTTTTTTAATTGAGTTAAAAGAAAATTAATCGTTAAAACCATACCTAATATATATATATATATATATTTATTAGGAAAAAAGAACAAAATAAATGTACTAAAATAATTAATTTATATGAGATACACTAAATAAATAAATATTTTAAATTGGTTGAATATAGTGTGATGTTGTTTTAAATAAAACATAATAGTTAATAATATTATATTAAATATTGAAATATATTTAGATTTGGGGAAAATAGATGTATATTATTCGGAATAATAGAGAATTCTCTAGACTTTTTCCTCGGAATTTCTGGGAGATCTTATTATTATTAATTATTTCAAGCAAATTTAATGCTCAGTCATGGAAGATATTGGGGAGAAAGTTCCAAATCTCACCGACTTAGATGGCTGACTTGTTTCACACGCAAACCTTGACTTAGAAGGCTTCAAATGGGGATGCCCACCAAATTAAGATTAAATTAAATTAAATTTACCTAAATTTTACACACACAAATATGTAATTTTTTTTTAAATGAAAAATTAAAATATATTCGTAGCTTCATGATATACAGACTCACTTTGCCTAAAATTCTCGAATAAAAAAAGCACAAATTAAAAGTTGACAATGAACAGGAGACAGAACCAAAGAACATTTCACAGCGGTGGAAAAGTAAGGAACAAAAACCAAGTCCCTATCTTATTTCTCTGCTTAAACAAGCAAAATTACAAGAACAGCCTACCACAATTTACAATATATCCACCACAAAGCGTAGCATTTGGCATTTGGCATTTAGTCCCTCCTCTTCTTCTTCTTCTTCTTCTCGTTCTTCTCTGCAGTGTTCCTTAGCTGCACAATAGTAACCCAATTGGTAATGGAAAAGAAATACCCATTTCATCTCAATCGGCCGAAGTAATGTTTATAAGCTTAAGCATTTTGCACCACAACTCACCATTATAATGAGAACTCGGACAAAAACACTGATGAAATCGGTGAACAGGGTCAGTGCATGCTTCACGTAGTCCATATCACCAAGATGTGCCCTCTCAATTATCTCTTGAGTATCAACTACCATGTAGCCCACAAACAGCAAAAGCCCGAAGTACAACTACAAGTAAACGCAGCAAACCAAGTGAAATTGAGGTCAAGTCTTCTACAAGGGGATTATTTCTAACTCCAAATTCAACAGTGATATACGTACCTCAAATTTGAAAACGGCAGTAGAACCACCGAAAATAGAGGAAGCGAAATGCAACCAGAGTAACATTGATATTCCAGAAGAAAGTAGGCCACCCAGATAGAGGAATTCCCTGCGTCTAGCCAACATGGCTGCAGCTGAGAAACAACCGAAGGCCACCGCAGTTCCCACAAAGGCACTGACCAAAACACTGGAAACAACACCATTTACAAAATCATCATTCCTTAAGAACCAAGAATGTAAAGCAACTCCAGCCAATTACAGAGACCGAATAACTAGATGAGCAAATCACAAAACTACGGTCAAAGGAATAATAAGAACTATTCACTACACCAAAAGATAGAATAAACAAAGAATTCATAGAGTACCTCGAGTCAATCTCAATAGCTAAACCAATCAAAGGACCAATTGAAGCTCCTTCGAGAAGAGCAGCCGCCATTAGAATAGAAATCCTCTTTTTCTGATGACAAATAGCAAGACATAAAACAAAAACATAGATATTAACAACATAAAATAAACAAACATAAATTACACATACAACAGTGAGGTAACAAAATGGTTAAAGAAACCTACCTCTTCATAAGGAGGAGTGGCCATTAGCCATGCGATGGTTCCAACACCTGCAAGTGTGGTGAGAATACCGCCAATGTTCCAAAGGATATGCAGATAAGCTCCAGCAGCTGATGCAACTAGAGCACAACCTAGAGTAAGGTAAACCTGCAGATTCGAAATACTTCACAAAATTAATTCTATAGAAAGAGAAAACTCACAGATCAATTGCATGTATCATCCAACAGCTCAAAAGAAAATGGAACAAAATGAAAAAAAGACCTATCGAATATAAGAATCCAAGAGACAACATTACGAACCATCAACAACCGACCGATAAAATACATTCTTACAGAAATCTTCGAACCTAAATCGAAAGTCTATTAAATTCATTTCGTTTAAACTCATTCGCACAACAACAATCAGGTACACGAGAAACGTACATCGAGAAATCCAAATCCTAATTTAGAACCCTCGTTTCTGGATGAAATCACGACAGATATGGGAATACAACGAAGGAATAAAAGAAAAGAATGGAGGAACCGACCATCTGGAGATGAGATTGAACGACCGGCGAAATCTGCCGGAAGTTCTTGAGAGAATCATAGCTCCAACGGTTTCTGGATTCTGCTTGAGAATCAAAGAAAGATGAAAATGCTTCCATTTGATCGCTTCGAAAACTTACAGAGCAAATACGAACGACGACGAACCGAAATTAAGGAAATCGGGTGTTCATTGAAGAGTTATAATAAGGATGCAGGCAAGTTTCTAGATTATTCAGATTCACCATTTTGCCCCTGTTCTTTCCAGCTATTTACCAGAAATGGTTTTTTTTTGGTATTTTAATTTTAAAATATATAACAGCTATTAATATTGAATATAGTTTACAAAACTTATAGATTCATCTAGATTATTCCAAAAAAAAAAAAAAAAAAAGAAAGAAAAAAATACAACCCATTTATTTTTTATTATTTAAAAAAAAATTAGTTAATCACACCTTAATAACTAAAATTTCATAAAACTCAAATATTAAACATATACACGACACAATATATCATTAATATTGGTTACGAATATTTTTAATTTTAATAATAATTTTTAAAGTAGGTAAGGTTAGGTTGAGTTCTAACTCTATTTTCGGAACTCGATAAAACAAATGTCAAACTATAACTCAGTCCCAAATTTTTAGTTTTTAAAAGATTTATAACCCTTATGGTTTGGGTTAGGTAGTCCGGATTGATCGGCTCTTGTGTCATATGAACGCCTTTAATTTCTATAATTAATTTTGAGGTGACAAGCGGTATTTGTTGTTTGTACGAAGGTAATGAAAATCCATTTATCCGAAGCTTTTAACCTTGATAATTTAATGTAGGTTGAGTAATAGGTTATGAAATTAGGCTTCTTCATTTTGTAATAAGTAGATCTACCGAAGTTGTAGAAGAGGTTGGGATTTCAGTCTGTAGAAGGTGAATATAGCGTCGGGACATAATCGATACTCATGAAAAAGCTAAAAATTTGTAGAGAGGCGAGAGGAGGAAGACGCTAGCACGTGCTGTACACTCTGGCACTTGAGAATCTACAAGTGGTGGGTGTAAATGGGTAAACCATGGGCACGAGGGAGAAGCTTACAAAGCGCGTGAGACCTTATCTTGTCTCTCGGTTTGTTTCGTTCTACTCTTCTTGACATGTTCTAATAAGATTGACTTATACTTTGAAAATTGTGTTTGATTGGTGACTTTACACCATTGATTCTACATGCAAGAACTCTTAGCCAAACTAAGTATTGGGTACTGTTCAGCGGGGCAACTCTCGTCGTGGTCTTCTACGGTCGCGACGTCGTCGGAGGAGCAATTGTTGTAGCAACTCATGACGCCAGAAGTCATGACTCTTCGTCTTCTAAAATAGTACTTGCGACTCTTCATCTTCCCCACATTAGCACGGTGTCAAAAGTCGCGACTCTTTGCCTTTCAAAATAGTACTCACAAAATGGTGGGACGGGAACGGGAAAGTCCCCAACGTCTCCATCCACGCCCGTAGACAATTCCTCCTAAGCAATTTGCTTTTACTTGCACCACAAGAACCACTTCTAGAAACATCTTTGCATCTAAAACACAAAATCTTGCAGTTTCAACGACACATCAAGAACAATCAAAATTTCCAACAAAACTGGATGTTGTCTTGTTCAAACAAACTCAGCTCCACTGGTTGTTTTGGTGGGGAGTTTGTGTGAAAGCATGAAGCCATTTGATAGAACTCGAGCGCAATATGACCTCAATACCTCGGACTTCTTTTGTTCATATCGTGTTCGAGTGCTTTCGAAACCTCACAGCAACAACAGATGATATCTACGAAGAATCAATCGAATGCAACGTTATCTCAACCATGACGGAGATTGATTAGCTTCTCCTTCTCCTTTGCTTTCTTCGACATTCCAAACAATCCCAACACGGAGCAATTTTTCGACCTACATTACTTGCTTGGAGCTTGCTGGGAGGTGCTTTCAGGTCCTCCAATAGTATTTGGTGAAGCTTGTTATTGTCCTCTCTTAGCTCTTGAATAAGTTTCTGATGCATCATTACCTGCATGTACATGAAACCGAACAAGTCGAATCGATTTTACGAACCAAAAGATGTAAAAAGAAGTGATAAGGAAAACATATTCTTGAAAGCGAGCAAAGAATCAATCATCCAAACGCTTTGTTTCTGAAGTAATAACGTTTAAATGGGAATCGTCGTGTCGCTTAGGAACAAACAAATTCAGATGTTCACTCATTAGATAACAAGTCCTTTCCATGATATGCATCTAACGTACCATTTCGAAGAGTTGTTTCTCGAGCCGTTGGCGTCCGACCTACAACGCAAGAAACATAAAGTAGTCCATAACGAATTATTACTCAGCTCGACTAAATCCATAACGTAATGAGATTTATAGAAGATCAAAATGACGAGCCAGTACGAAATGAACGATAAGATCCGCACTGCTGGTACCACACTCAAGCTTGGATCGTTGTCGTGCCAAAACAAGAACAATGTATGTCACACCAAACATTCACTGTTCTTATCCGAAATTTTTTCTTGAATGCACGTAAGAATCTTAAACCAAACATGTATTATCGTACCTCATCCTGCAGTACCGTATCCCCTCCTTTAAAAACAGGATTTTGCAAGAAACTGTCGATGACCTTTTCGGTTCGAGTTCCAAAAGATCTGCTCAACGGAGACTTTCCAGACTGGTTTTCTGGGACTATAGGATGTTCATCTGTTGAAACGTTCGTTATGCTCGTGGCAGATCGTAGTGATGCTGGTACCGTGTCTTGACTAATCGGAAGACTAGGATTGTTTCCAAATTTTGTCATCACCTTCTCCATTGCTTGCTACCAGATTTGGGTATCAAGCTTCAAACACATGTAAATAAGAAGTCACAACGGGAAAAATACGATGGATAAGAGGCCGAGCACCTACCATGACAGAAGATTGCGCTTGTTGTAGAAATGAGGGCTTGATAGCAAGGCCTGATATTCAAGAAACGACGTGTCGGTTAAGCAACAGATGAACGTGTCGGTTTAAGAGATATTGTGGGACATACCAACACCAAAACCATGGCCAAAACCAACTCCACACCCAATTCCAGCTTGGATGTTCTTAGCTCCCAATTTCCTGAGCTAACATGTTGTATTTGAGAGATATTCAATGGTCCAACATTTTAGATGGCAAATAAATAACGCAAGATCCATAATGTTTAAGGATAAGACTCACAGAGTTATTTAAATGCCTCGATATACCAGAAAATGCATCGGTTGCGCCTCTCGTGGCACTCATAACATCGTTCACGACAGGAATTGCACCTGAAAAAATGAGATCGATTTCATATGTGTTCATATAGTAGCAGCACTGCCCAGCAGACATGTTCATCAACCAAGGACCAAACATATATCACCCATTCACACATATTCAACGTGATAATAAAAGAAAAGACAATAAAAGAAGAAGAAATTGAAAGATATTAATCTAATGGTCCAAGCCCACCCCTAATAGATATTGACCGCTTTGACCCGTTACGTATTGTTGTCAATCTCACGATTTTAAAACACGTCTTCTAGGGAGAAGTTTCCACACCCTTATAGGAATACTTTGTTCCCTTCTCCAACCAATGTGGGATCTCACAATCCACCACGCCAACGTCCTTGGTGACTAGCTCTAATATCATTTGTAACCGCCCAAGCCCACCACTAGTAGATATTGTCTGTTTTGGCCTGTTACGTATCGATGTTAGCCTCACGTCTTAAAACGCATCTGCTAAGGATAGGTTTTCACACCCTTATAAGTAATACTTTATTCCCCTCTCCAACCAATGTGAGATCTCACAATCCACCCCCTTGGGAGTCAACGTCATCGCTAGCACTCCCTCCGGTTCTGATACCATTTGTAACAACCCAAGCCCACTGATAGCAGATATTGTCCGCTTTGGCCCGTTATGTATCGTTGTCAATCTCACAATTTTAAAACGTGTCTGCTAGAAAAATATTTTCACACCCTTCTAAGGAATACTTCGTCCCCCCTCCAACCAACGTGGGATCTCACAATCCACCCCTTGGGGACCAGCGTCCTTGTTAGCACACCGTTCGGGCAAATATTGTCTGCTTTGATCCATTACGTATCACTGTTAGCCTCGTGGTTTTAAAACGTGTCTGCTAGGGACAAGTTTCAACACTCATACAAGGAATACTTCGTTTCTCTCTAGAACCAACGTGAGAGATGGATCTCACACTTAAACATATAGTGCAGACCAATTTAAAAGTATCATCCTTACCTGGAAATCCCTCGTTTGTCATGTTAAATAGAGAATAACAACTCAAAATCCACATAGAGTTCCTATTACATTGCCCTCCCTAGAACAATCTTCATATCAGAACAGAACCCTTTCATGAAAAATCCTATATGAAATGAAAGCAGAAAACAACTCTTCTCGATAGTTTATACTTAAGCCGTTAGTGCAAAAGAGAAAGCTAAGGAAGAAAGTGGTAGGGAAAATTTACCCATGTTTATGGGGCGGCCAACGCCGATACCGACGCCACAGCCGACGCCGAACCCTGTAAATATTTGACCCACTTTCAAAGTAAAGGGATTCTCCATTCGGATTCCTCCAAATTGCCCTTTCTCAGAGGCCACCCTACCCTTAATTTCTGATACATTTCTTGCTTCCATTCTTCAACCACCCTCCAATTTTTGGATTCTGCGCTTTCAAAGGCGCTCGGGTAGTAGAAAATGAAAGCGAACATGATGCTTCTCGCAATCTTTAATGGGCTTCTTCATGTGGGCCTTCCGTACGCTACTTTTTCGACGTGAAATCGCTTGGCCCATCACTCTTTTTGAATGCTGACGGCTTGAATAGCTTGGCCAATGTGTAGTCCAACGGTTGGATGATAAAAGAGGAGAGATAGGCTGAGTGGTTGAAGGCGTAGCATTAGAACAACAGTGCTATGTGGGTAGGCTTTTGTTTACCGAGGGTTCAAATCCCTCTCTCTCTTTCCCAACTAATTAAACAATGTGATTAACCCCAATGTATCAAATCAAATAACAATGGATGTAATGGTTATACCTTTGTTGCTTGGATATAGATTTTCTAGTTATCATAAAAGGCTAATTTTTCAGGAATTTTAGACCAAGCTTTTGATAAACTTTGATTTCCGGTCCATGCACATCGCTCTCTCCAGGAGGTTGGCCGCCTATCCTAGATCTAGGGACCCGGACCATCATTGTTTGAAAGAGTTATCTACTCCCTTCTCTGAAGAATCAACATAGCAAAATCATTCCACTGAGGGGGCTTGAGGTAGTCTTATAAAATGAGGGTACCCACTTTCTATTTAATAATTTAAATGTGAATAGAGAATGAACCATTCATATTCTTGGAAGATCAGACAGAGCCTCGAGCCTGAAAAGAAAGGGGTTACACAAAATTGTTCTCGGGGATAGTCAAAGGGACAAGTTCAGTAGTGAAGGATCAAGAATCAATCAATAGGTGAAAGAAAGAAGAACTGAATATGCTCATGGGTTTATAATTAAGGAATACTTTCTCCATTGGTACGAGGTCTTTAGGAAGCATAAAACAAAGCCATAAGAGCTTATGCTCAAAATGGATAGTATCATACCATTGTGGAGAGTCGTGTTCGTCTAACATGGTATCAGAGTCATGCCCTAAACTTAGTCGTGCCAATAGATCGGTAAATCCTCAAATGTCAAACTAAGGAATCCAGAAGAAAAATGAGTCGAGCTTCGATTAAGGGGAGACCCACATCGGCTAATTTAGGGAATGATCATGGGTTTATAATCAAATAATACTATCTCTATTGATTTAAGGTCATTTTGGGAAAGCCCAAAGCAAAGCCAAAGAGTGTAGTTTGTTCGAGAGCTCTAGAGAAGGAGTCGAGTCGAGCCCTGATTAAGGGGAGACTATTCGAGAACTCAAGAGAAAACGGTAAGTATATATATATTTTTTTAAGTATAATAACATTATTAAAACTTTAAAAAATGAAGTATTTTCAATATTTCTAGGCGTGTTACAATTCTCCCAAACAATAGAAAGAAACAAACGATAATAATAATAAATTTGTACAAATACACGTGGCAATTAAATGGCGTTGCCATGTCATCAAGCGTATTGGCCACCTGGGTTCACATACTTCACGACATTTTCGGGCCTTTTATAAACCACGCGCCCCTCTCCCCTTCTCTTCATTTCTTCAATTTCTTCAATTTCTTCGTCTCTCTACCCCTCTTTTTCTCTTTTCTCCGGCGACCGATCTTCCTCCGGTCAAGTTTTCGCCGGCAGGTCCTCTCATCGCATCGATCTCTTCTCATATACTTAACTCCGCTATCTTATTAGCCATGAATCCGGAATAGTAAGCTCGATTTTTTCTTCTTCTTGTTTTTTGATTCAATTTGTCGATTGGAAGCCCTTGTTTTGTCGTCGTTTTTTTTGCTGAATTGGGTTAGATCTGGTCGATGAGGAAGATGGAACTTCTTTTAGAAATATGTTTTGTGTTGGATGGTTTAGCTAATTGGGGAATTTTCGATGGTGGTTCTGTTTTTTACGATTTGGTTGAAATATAGGTGATCGATTTGAGATCTCAATTTATCTACCGCTTGTGAAAATGACCCTTTGAATTTCTTGTTTCTTCTTGGAATGAAGGTGTTTGATTGTCAATTTGGTTGGCGATTTTGATAATCAACTTGTAATTTGTTTGATTCTTATTTTGTTTGGAGTTACTTCGGTAATTTCTTAAATTTAATCGTTTGGTTATATGTAATCTTTGAATCCTCGAGGAATTTATTCCTCTCTCGCTGTAGGAGTTGTGATATTAAGTAGTAGGGTCTTTTTAACAGTGGCGAATTTGGTGCAATTTTTTTACTCCGTTCTTGTATTTGCAGCGACTATTTGTTTAAGCTTCTGCTTATCGGAGATTCGGGAGTTGGAAAATCTTGTCTTCTACTGAGGTTTGCTGTAAGTTGTCTCTACAAAACTTTCTTCCAACTGTTTCTTCTTATTTTCTGTTTCCTGTTGAGTTGGTAGATACTGCTTTAGGTAATACATATGGCTTTGCTGGACGAAAGTCGCAACGATACAATGAAAGCGATGTGTTCTTTGTTGGGTTCCACACAGTTTGGCTTTTACTCAAATATGGAATCATTTCCCAGTAGTTATTAACACCTAATCCATTTGTTTCCTCCCTTTTGTGTATACTCAAAGAGAACTCCAATGTTCATTTCCTTTCGAGTTGGTCATAAATACTGTTCATGCAGGACGATGTACATATAAGTTATCGTCACCGAACAATCTACTAAACAATTGCTATCGGTTATCACAACTAAATAAGTTGTTCACAGTGATTAGGTATCTTTATATTTTATAGACATCCTCGCTTTACGTAATAGGGACTCCCATGACTTCTGCATTGGTTGAGAGTTTCGAGTTGCTCATGATTGACATTTTTGTGTTAGTTAGAAGGTAGTTGTTGATTAGGTTAGGTATATTATATATTCTCTTGTTCCTTAATTAATTCCTTCTCTTTTTTCAAATCAGGATGACTCGTATCTCGATAGCTACATTAGCACCATTGGAGTTGACTTTGTAAGCTTCTATCACATATTTGGTCTTCTATTCATGATAATTATACATGAATTTTTTCAGCTCTAATACTTGAAATAAATTATTACTTGTAGAAAATCCGCACTGTGGAACAGGATGGAAAGACCATTAAACTTCAAATTGTAAGTTTGAATTTTTCAATTGTTCTTGCTTTAATCGAAGCTTAGAGGACTATTTACTTAAGCGACTGTTTTATTTGTTCAAAAAAATCCTTTATAGTCTGCAATTATGCTGTTCTTCTGTTGGTAAAATCAAATTTAACCGTAGATCTTTAGGAGGGGAGAAAGAAAGAGAGTGAGAGAGAAGAGGGGTGGGGATGCATATTAATACTGCTTAAGAAGATTTCAATGCTGCTTTTTGGTCTTTGCTGTTAAATGGTAATTTTAACCCTGAACTGTAGTGGGACACTGCCGGTCAAGAACGTTTTAGAACGATTACTAGCAGCTACTACCGTGGAGCTCATGGAATAATCGTAATTGCTACACTCTTCATTTTTCAGTTTCTTCTCCTGCCTTTTTTCATCTTCTTAAAGTGAAGTCTGTTTGCATATAATGTGCTGCCATGTAGGTCGTGTATGACGTTACAGATCAGGATAGCTTCAATAATGTTAAGCAATGGTTGAACGAAATAGACCGATATGCTAGTGAAAATGTGAACAAGCTTCTGGTTGGTAATAAATGTGATCTCACTGCAAATAAGGTCGTCTCTTATGAGACAGCGAAGGTAGTAATTTTACTTGGGAGTCTTTCACAAAAGTATGAATTTGGATCTTGAATATGAAAATCAAGACTAAAATTCGATTGTGACATCAATTATTTTCTGAAGGCCTTTGCGGATGAAATTGGGATTCCATTCATGGAAACAAGTGCTAAAAGCGCCACGAATGTAGAAGAGGCTTTCATGGCCATGGCTGCTGAAATAAAGAACAGGTACGAACACTGGCCACAGAGACAGCCTACTAGCTTACCCTTTTCCTTTTTTCTGTTTTAGTTTTTGTTTTCGTTTTCGTCAATTATTATTAGAATATTCATGAATGTCTTAACTAGTTTAAACATAATTATGCATACCCACGATGCTTTTGACCTATTCCTTCTAAGCCTTTTCAATCTTTCATGGGCTTCTATGATCATTAGTCTATCCCAAGCCGATTAGTTCTCGAGCTTACGAAGTTAATCCTTGGAACTTGAGCTGAACCTACCTTTTTAGCACTATGATCTCTTACTAATTATCACGGAGGTAGGAATTGGGGAGTCGTTAACCACCCCTAAAGGCTCCTACCGACTTCTAAGTTCTACCTTCATTCTTTACTCCACCGGCAGTAGCTCCATTCCTGACACGATGACGCAACGCGTTCCATCTATACGAAGCAGCATCCACCCTTCTTTACTTGATTTCGTTGTTTCGGGGTTCATTTTTGTAGGATGGCGACACAGCCGATGAACAATGCAAGGCCACCGACAGTGAACATTCAAGGACAACCTGTGAATCAGAAAACTGGTTGCTGCTCTTCTTAAAGATGAATGGCTCTTACTGAATGGTTGACAGATGGTGATGGTGATGTTTATGTATGGACGGTGACATGTAAGACTAGTTGTCTCTCTCTCTCTCTCTATGCTTTTCGTATAAAAAGATTCGTCGGTCGTGAAATGATTTGCCTTTGCCTTTTATTTTCTCGTCTTTTGAAGTCGAACTATGTTAACACCTCCATTCTTTTGAATATATTTGTTTCTGGATCAAACATTATTCAGGTGTAAAATTTAGATATCAATGAACAGTAGTAGTATTTGCTTCATTGTCTATATCATTCATAATAATATATCTCATTAACATGAGCTTAGTTCTTTTTAGTATTGTTGTGCTGCAAATTTACATTAGAACTTACAGAGCTCTTTTTCACATGTATGGAGGTTTAGTCAAGACTTCCATTGGATGGTATTACCTTTTTCTTTCCCTTCTTCAATTAGTGGAAGCATTAAGGTTGAGCTCTAGATGGCTCTTCTGACTGTTTTTCTTTGTACTGAACACCATCGTCTCGTCTCATCATCTAGCTCAGCTGTTCCTCATGGAAGGTGTAGCGACTCAAGCTCACTACGTGCTATTTTTAGGCTTTACCTTTCGACCTTACTCAAGGTTTTTAAAAATGTGTCTGTTCGGGAGAACTTTTCACACTTTTATTATAAAGAATGTTTCGTTCTCTTCCTCAACCGATGTAAAATCTCATAAAGCTCAATAAAATGAAATCTTGTTGTCATAAATGAGATGATTTTGAATTTATAACTTGTAAGTAATAATGTTTTCACATGAAAAAGTTCAGATATACTAAACGTATAAAAATTGAAAACAATTTTCAAAACATCCCGAACGATTAAACTACTTTTAGAAAAAAAAGATAATAAAAATAAAAAAGCATCATAACCAACTTAAAACAACTGATTATCTATCTAAATAATAAAAGAAAAGAAAAAAAATGAAAAGGAAAATAAAAAGGAAGGAATTTCCGTATATATTTTTTGTATAATAATTATTTTACAATAATTTAAGATATATTATATTATATGTCTTTTAATTTTACTAAAAATGAATTGAGTTTATAATTTGGAATATTATTTTTAATAAATATTTTATCTTGTTGAATATAGTGATGCATTTTAAAATTGCACATTTTCAAAATTTGGAATATTCAGATCATATCATTAAAAAAAACAACTTTCAAAACATAAAAAAAAAATTAAAATTAAAATTAAAAAAAATAAAAAATAAAAAATAAACAATAAAAAAATAAAGGCAGTTAGATTGTATTGAAATTTTAATAGCTTCAACTTCTCACATTATTCTTGGTTCAAGACAACAAGGTCAAGGGCAGAAATGGAATACAATCCCTTTTACACAAACAAGAATAGAATATAGATATATTTAGAGGTTAGAGGCCGTTGCGACTCTTGAAAATATTTATATATATATATATAGCGGAATTGAGAAGATATAGTGAATAATTTTATTATGGGTTGCCGAAGACAAGGAAGAGTTACATAACACGAAGATGTATGACAATTCAAAATGACTAATCTAACTTACCCTAACACTCCATAATGTTCGTAGCTTTTGAGTTTATAACTTGAAATATTAAAATTATTAAAAAAAATTAATCCTTTTAATCTAATGATACATTTGAAACTCCACGTTCAAATATTTTTTTTCCATGGTTGAACTTGAGTCTTTCGACCGAGAGCTAGATATTGTGATTAATTAAACTATAACTGAGTTGTTGTTTTATATATTGGTAATTTCAACACTAATTTAGTAATTATTTCCATCACCTACCTAAAATGACTTACTAGGTTTCTTCTTTATAGATTTAAATAAATATAAATTTCATATTTGTTACCCATGGAAACCATTTTATTTTATTCTTTTCAATTTTTCATCTTGTTTTCTTTAATTTATATTAATTGATAAAAGTGCTACAAATATCCGTTGTAGTCTAGTTGGTCAGGATATTCGGCTCTCACCCGAAAGACCCGGGTTCAAGTCCCGGCAACGGAAGTCAGTTTATTTATTTTCAATTTTTCATATGTCTTTTATTGAATTTTAATTTTAATTGATAAAAATAACAAATTGATCTGTGGTAGTCTTGGTGGTCATATATTCGTTTATCATAAAAAAGACTGTGGTTCAAGTTTTAGAAATTGAACCTTTTTCCTTTTTCTTTTATTTATTTTCATTTTATTGCATTTTCTTTTTCTTTTATTATTTTAGTTCTAAAGTGTAAATAGATCTGAAAATATTATTCCAAAAAATATAAACTAACTAAATCTTCCGAATAAAATAAAATAGGAAAAATATTAATTAATTATAAATGAGATATATTATCCAAATATTAGCGGATTACAAATATCTTGACTAATTCAAACTAACAATAAGTTGCACTAAATTCTAACGTCACCTTAGTGCAAACTTATTTCTTAAAAACTCCGAGAACCTTACGAAAAACTTCAAACTTCACTTTGGCAAGTGACTTAGTAAATATGTCTGCAATTTGTTTATTAGTATGTGTTTTCTGCAATTCAACATCCTGCGATAACAATTTCTCTCGAACAAAATGATAATGAGTAATATGTTTCGAACAAGCATGAAACACTGGATTTCTAGCAAGTTTTATTGCACTTTCATTATCACAATTAATTTGAATTGGTTGATTGAGAGTAGTCGCTATTTTTTTAATAAGCCTCCTGAGCCACAAACATTCTTGAGAAGCAATTGTAGCAGCTATATATTCTGTTTCACAACTTGACAAAGTAACAGTGCTTTTCTTTATACTACACCATAAAATTGCAGCAGAGTCTGCTGTAAAACAAAAATCTCTTGTGGAGCGTCTGTCGTTCATGTCACCAGCCCAATCAGCATCCACAAAACCACTAGGATTTTTATTAGGTTAAGCAACCCGCCCCATTGGTATAGAGTTATTGAAACCTGGCCCAGCTACACCTGAAGAAACGCCTATTCCAGAGCCTAGAGAAACTGGTGAGCTTGGATCGAGTGACATGCCAGGAGTAAGTGGCTGCATTGGTTCTAGATCTAGAGGTCCAAAAGGAGATCCTATCATTGGCAATGGAATTCCACCCTATTGACTCTCTCTCCGAGCAGGACTTCCTTTGTTTCCTCTCCCTACTCTATTTCCTTTCATTCCTTGCTGAGTAGCTCGATTGAAGGTCCCTGCTCTTGGTTGCCATAGAGTTGATGTGAACCACTGCTATAACTTTGACCACCACCAACACGACCTGAATTTAAACCTTTTTGACATCTTCCCTTCCCTCCATGAAAATCAAAGTCAAGTCATCCTTCCATGAATTCTGATCTTTTGATTGCTCCAATTCTAATGACAAAGAGTGGTAGGCTTCAACAGCTTTGATTACATCTAATTGAAGCTTTTCCATAGCGGCTGTTTCGAATTAATTTTGGTTTTTCCTTGCAATGTTGAGGGCTTGAGCTTCAGATTCTCTGCAGTAACTGAGCTCATTTTTCAATTTTTCAACAAGGGAGAGTGTCTCTAAGAGCTGTGTTCTTAAATAATCTATCTCAACTTGTGCAGACTCAACGATGTTACTTCAGGTTTGGTTGGATTCAGACACTATGTTCAGCTGGAACTTGAGCCTCTTAACTTCATTCATGGCAAAGGCCAATGCAGCAACATCCATTGCGTGTTGCTTCTGAACATCTTCGAGTTCGGACTCCCATGCTCTATTGCGATATCGAGAAAGTTTGTGCAGTTCTTGAACACGATCTTTCTCAGAAGCTGAGAGCTCAAGCACCTGCTGTTGGGATTCTTCAAGCTTTGCAGACATATCTTATAGTGGTTTCTTTACTTCTTCTGCTTCCTGTCGGGCTTGCTTTTTGTGTGATTCAAATGCGCTCAGTTGATCACTTGTTTTCTTCGGTTCCTCCTAGAGTTAAGAAAGTCGTGATTCCAATTCAGCTACTTTGCTGGGCCTGATGGTGTTAATATAACATGCGGAAGCAATTTGGATCTTAGACACTTTTAGAACATTAATTATAGTAAATAACTAGCATATTCATAAGTATTAAAACTTAATGAGTTTGAATACTAACCTTTTATAGTTCAAATTCCTTTTTTCTCACGAACCGGTTTCGAACCACCACTAGTGTCTTCTCCACTATCCTCCGGTCTTAGAACGGGATTGTGGAATCCGATGAGTGACTAACCTTCGGAGGGATTTTGTATATATGAAGAGAGTGTTTGTGAGAGGTTTTTCTCAAGGTTTTTCACCAAGAAAAAGACCTTTTATGTATTATGATTTTATTAGAGTCATGTTTGCATGTTCATGCAAATTTGAGATCACCAAATTTTGATACTCAAAAGTCCACTCAAATTTGTAGGGTTTATTTGGCAAGTTTGGTTAAACCAAATTTTAACACCTCAAAATTCCACTAACATGGATTTTTCCATTAAATGAAGTTAACATTTTGACTTTCGTTCATTTTGATTCAAGAATCAATTTGAATTATTAATTTCAAATTAAAGTAATATTAAATTATTAATTAAACTATTTAATTAATATTTAATATTCATTCAAATGTCAATCCCAATTAATTCCGACACATATTTGATTAAGATATTTAAATCTTATTTAAATATCTCATATTCTCTCTTTTTGTTTAATTCGTAAATAAAACAAAAATGCGGTTAAATATATCGTATATATGTAGTGCATTCTCCCTAATTTGAATTTGAACACTTTGAATGTCACACTATTCTATGGTTTAGTCCGATATGAGCTAGCAGAGGGACCTAATGGACCTATAGATCATGGGCTCAACCGATCCAAAATTAACCGGTTAAACTCATTAACCTTGTTAACCAACATTCGTTAACTACTAGGACATTCCACTATAGCCTAGTAGTGGCACTCCCCTCACTATAGATATATTTCTGTCCATTTGATGTAACCATGATTAGTAAGTCGATCCTTCACAGGTTGTTCGTAACTAAAGCTGGGTCAATTTACCATTTTACCCCTGAAGTTACTTCTTGTTTCTTATGTCTCACTGATCATCTAATGAACAATTGGTTTGTGGTCCAACCAGTGAGAGGGTGAGGCCCCTTGTTCAAGATCTGGAGTCAGTGCTTAAGGGAACTATCTCTCTTCTATCCCTAAAAGTGGGTAGGAGTGAATTCCATCTTGCACCCCACGTCCCCAACCATTTACCTAGTCTTATCCCTGAAATGGGAGGCCTATTGAGTCGGCGAACATGAGTCACTCTCACCCGTGCAAATCTAATGATAATTCCGAATAAATAGGAGTTCATGGTTAGCTCAGGATTAAGATCGAGTTACCTAGATCATCGAATGAAAAGAAAATCAGTCTCAACAGTAAACGACATTATTAAGTGAGAGTGATTTTCTTCATGGTCCGATCTTATGCAATACTCATTGCATAGGACGCCCCCACTCACATGTCTCCACATGTACAATTTTAGTGATCACATTGTTTATATCATATACAAAAGTGGGTCGCATCCACAGTGTCTCTAGAATAAGGTACTCAGCCTTATCCTTGTACTATAGATCATTTTGACTATATACTTGAAGTTGATCAACTCTTATGTCTACAGATAGTTCAAGTAATCATACTATAGCCAGAGTGTTCTTAGTTTATTGGATTTAGATTAATGATCGTAAAGTTCACTTTATTCAG